TGAGCCCAGGAGTTCAAGATCAGCTTGGGCGACCAAGCGAGCACCTCTTTACAAAAAATAAAAATAAATAACAAATTAGCTGGGCGTGGTGACGAGCGCCAGTGGTCCCAAGTACTCAGGAGGCTGAGGCGAGAGGACAGCTTAAGCTCAGAAGGTTTCAAGGCTGCAGTGAGCTGCAATCGCGCCACTGCACTCCAGCCTGGGTGACAGAGCAAGACTTCGTCTCAAAAAAAAAAAAAAAAAAAAAAAAAAAAAAAAAAAAAGACCATCTTGAGCCCAGGCCCAGACCCCTGGTCTGCTCTCGTGCTGCCCTCTAGTGACCGCACTCGGAATTGCAGCTCCAAACTCCGGCTGAAGGAGGTGGCGCAGGGCGGCGCGGGGCGAGGGGGTCCTTCCTGATCAGGCACCCTCAGGGAGGGCCCTGCTCACCTCGGTGAGGTACTCAGCGTGGTGCTTCGTGGCCACAAACACCACGGTCTGGTCCTGAGGCCGCACCACGTTGCGCAGCAGGTGGAGCAGCACGGCAGCCTTGGTGTCCTCCCGCACGAGGAAGAAGGAGGTCTGCGGGGAGAGGGATCGCGGGTTGACTCGTGGGGTCCTGGCTGAGGGCCTGCGGGGTCCCCCCGGACACACCCGCCCTGGACGGGCACATGCACAGCCTCACCTTGAGCTGCTCGTTGAGCTTAGCGTCCACGTCAAGCCGGATGAGCATGGGCTCCGTGAGGCCTGCGGGAGACGTGGGGAAGAGTGAGGGAGTCACTGATGGACTGGACCCCCAGGCCCCAGGCCGACCCCCAGCTCCCATCGCCACCCCCCAGCTCACCCACCTGCCCGGGCAAATTCCACCAGCAGTTTGGGCAGCGTGGCGGAGAACAGCACCGTCTGGTGGCCCCCAGGGAGCCGGGCGATGATCTCCTGCAGCTGCTCTGCGAAGCCCATTTCAAAAAGCCTGGAAAAGCAGAGGGCAGGACAGGGTCGGAGGGGGCTCCACGCCCTGGAGTTCCAACCTGGAGCTCCCCACAACGTCTGCGGTGTCCCACGGCTTGCCTCACTCTACTTTATCTCAGCCCACTCACACTTTACTGCCTGACCTCATCCTAAGCAACAATAACCTTGAAATCCGCAACGTGTCTCGGTATGTTCTCACAAACTCACGCTGAAATAAACGACAGCAGCCTAGGCCGGCTGCAGGCGCTCACGCCTGTAATACAGCACTTTGAGAGGCCGAGGCCGGGGGAGTTTGAGACCAGCCTGGGTGAGACCCCACCTCTACAAAAAATAAAAATTAGTTGGGCATGGTGGCGCATATAGGTGGCACATACCTATATTCCCAGCTACTCAGGAGGCTGAGGTGGGAGGCTCCCTTGAGCCTGGGAGGCCGAGGCTGCAGTGAGCTATCATCACACCACTGTACTCCAGGCTGGGCGACAGAGCAAGACCCTGTCTCCATCGGTCAATCAATGGTAGCAGCTCCTCCCCCTTCCCTTTCCTCCGGCTCCCCAACTCTGCCAGGGACGGCTCTAAGTACTATACAAGCATCAAGTCTTCTGGTCACAGCACCCCTGAGAGGTACGTGCTACTTCATCCCTGCTTTGCAGTTGAGGCAGCCAAGGCCCAGAGATGCCAGTGATTTGCCCAAATTCACAGAGCTGAAGTGGCAGAGCTAGGACTTGATCCTCCTGTCTGGCTCCCGAGTCCATGCTCTCAACTTTGCACTTTTAAAAAAATCCCTTTGCCATCCTATGTTAGTTTTTCTGTTATTCATTTCAATTCTCCCAAAATGCAAAATTGTAAATATCGGTCAGAGAGCCCCAGGGAAGAGCTCCAGCACCACTTATGAGGAGGCCTGCAGCCCGCATCTGGGGAGACAGTGCCTCAGTCTTGGCCGCACAGGTCTGTCCCAGCAGAGCCTTCCCCTGGCTGACCTCCCTGCCTCTGCTTCACCAGTCCAGACACCCGTGCTCAGGGCTGGACCTGCAGTCTTACCGGTCAGCTTCATCAAACACCACGTATTCCACACTCTGCAGCTTCAGGTTCATTTCCACAGCCACATGCACCAACCGTCCGGGAGTGGCAATGATTCTGGAAGAGGATGCACAGGCCAGGTGACCCCAGGTCCAGGGCCACCACCATAGTTCTCTAACACCCCCACCACTGGGAAGGGACCTCGAGGCGTCATTCCCAATCCACAAACTCACATGTCAGGATTTTCGTGCAGGGCTGCAAACTGGTCTTCCATCCTAGGGAGGAGAGAAGGGGTTAGCTTGATAGAACAGGTTGCTCTGGTAACCAAACGTCCAGGCGAGGCTGCATACCCCAGCCTCAGGAACACAGGCCCGAGGCTTGGAACTGACGAAAGGCCAGTGCTGAGGTATGAAGCAAAGGCACTGCTCTGACAAGAGATACAAGTTGAAATATACCAAAGAATGGTTACAACAGAGTTCCCCTGAAGACATGGGCTCAACTATAGACCTCAACTCACTTCTGTTGCTCCAGATAGCAACAAAGCTGCCTTTGGCCCACAGTGCCCCCTAGCAACTAACTCTGGAACTACCAGCTCAAACTAGAACCCAGGTTCCCTGGATCTCTATCAGCTCCTGTCCTTAAACCCTTCCGGCACACATCCCTAATTTTAGTCCTCCTCTGAAGCACCCCTGGGATACCTGTAGGAGCCAGAGTAGTCCTGGGCCACGACTAGCCCAGGGAGGCCTGACAATCATTAATTTTAGAAAGCATAAATGACAATGGAAACAAAAGCACTGAAAAGCAAACTCTCTGAGAATCAAGAGTGTTAATAGTGGCATCCTTAAACTTTCTCCCTTGAAGGTGCTGCCCCTTAAGGGAGAAACTGTGGGATAGAGCATGGAATCAGGCAGGAGACTGGATTCTGATCCCAACTCTACTATGGAATCATTGTCCGACTCTAACCTGTCACTTCCTCATTTTGCTCATCTGTAAAACAGATGTGGCACCTACTACCTCAGAAGGGAGGTACCTGCACATCAGGCAATAACACATCTTGAGAATCTCAGTTATTGCAAACATCCCTCAATTCCTGTGCTTTCTGATTTCAAACAGCCCACAGCCAGGTGTGGCGGCTCATGCCTGTAATCTCAACACTTTGGGAGGCCAAAGCGGCAGATGGCTTGAGCCCAGGAGTTCGAGACCAGCCTGGGCAACATGGCGAGACCTCATTTCTACAAAAAATACAAAAATTAGCTGGGTGTGGTGGCTCACACCTGTAGTGCCAGCTACTGGGAAAGCTGACATGGTAGGATCACTTGAGCCCAGGAGGTTGAGGCTGCAGTGAGCTGTGATCACACTACTGCACTCCAGCCAGGGTGACTGAGTGAGACCCTTTCTCAAAACAAATATTTTTTTTTTTTTTTTTTT